AGCATGAACAGATAAAAATATCAAGCACGTGATAGATAAACATCAAGCATGAACAGATAAAAATATCAAGCACGTACAGATAAATATCAAGCACGGGACAGATGAAAATCAAGCATAAACAGGTAAAATGTCAGACACGGGGTGACATTTTGTCAAGCCATGCTTGATATTTTATCGCACAATGTCTGATAATTATGTCCAACTCGGCTTGCCATAGATAAGCAACATGTTCAGGTTTCACTTAATGGATTCCATGATCGGCAGAAATCAGATGTCGATTTAAATTACCATTTTTCAATAACTGAAATATGGATAATTAACATGTGTACTGTAATTAGTACTTTTTTGTTTACTTAAAGAGAAGTTAAAGAATTTCTCCATTAAGATCCGTGTCAGATGTTTCCCCATACAGTGGCTTCCAAAATAACGCCCGAATAAACAAAAAAAAAAAGGAATCAAACAATTAACAAATAAATTAATATTATCAATTAATCAATTAAAATAGATAAAAAGAATATTATTATTACTTACCAAATAATAACATCAATCGAAATTATTGTGCCTGTTACTTATGTTGCACGTGTTACTACAAATATTTACCTTTTTAAAATTCGTTATTGTTTTTCAAAAAGGTAACACTTTTAAGATTGTACATATATTTGTACAGCATAAAAAACATATAATACGACTTGATTTTAATACTGTGTATTGCACTAAAACTCTCCAATGACAGATACTACTAATAAAATTATACGACGAAAGTCTCTAGGTAGAGCCGCATTTATTGGGTCTCTATATAATGCTACAAGAGATACGTTCTGTGGTACTACGATAATGAAAACTGAATTTCCAAATGATTCTATAAATAGAGCTGATATTCTAAATAAAGAATTATCTTACGAATATGAGGATTCGTATGTGGAAAAGTTCAACAAATTAGACGTTGAAGCCGAACTGAAATTAAGTGCTCTCGCAGGACTGGTTACTTTAGAAGGTTCGGGAAAATATTTAAGCGATGTAAAAGATAGTTCTAAAACTGTAAAAGGCAATCTAATATATAGAATGACTTCATTTGAAGAAAATTTGAATATTTTTCGTGATGATGTTAAAGCATGCATTTCTACTGACGGGTTTAATAACACAGATGCTACTCACGTCGTGGTAGGAATAAAATGGGGAGCTACTATTATTGCATCATATGAATGTAAAAACATTAAGGAAGAGGACAAGCATCAACTTGAAGCAGAGTTAAAGTCTTATTTTGAAAAATTATCACTTTCTATTTCCGAAAATGATAACGTAGACGCCGAAAAGGATCAACCTAACTTTATGAAACGTTTCTCCATAAAGCTTTTTGGAGATGCAGTTCCGCATAATAAGAAATCCTTCGTTGAAGCAAGGAAAATCACGACAGAGCTTCCTTCATACGCAAAACAATCTAATGATGGAAAAGGATCTTCAATTAAGTCTTATTTTGAAAATTTATCATTTTCTGTTTTCGGAAATGGTAACGTAGACGTTGAGAAGGGTCAACCTAACTTTATGAAACGTTCCTACAGAAATCTTTTTGGAGATGCAGCTCCGCATAATAAAAAATCCTTTGATGAAACAAGGAAAATCATGACAGAGCTTCCTTCATACGGCAATCAATCTAATGATGGAAAAGGATTTTCAATTAAGCCTTATTTTGAAAATTTATCATTTTCTATTTCCAGAAATGTTAACGTAGACGTTGAAAAGGATCAACCTAACCTTATAAAACGTTTCTCCATAAAGCTTTTTGGAGATGCAGTTCCGCATAATAAAAAATCCTTTGATGAAGCAAGAAAATTCATGACAGAGCTTCCTTCATATGCCAAACAGTTTAATGATGGAAAAGGATTTCCAATTGAATATACTCTCTATCCATTGTCAGAACTTGCGAAGAAAATTACTCAAAATATCACAGTTGATAATATGATGATGGCATCAAGTGAAGAAATTGTTCCAAAAATAGAGCAATTCATTGATGATTTATTCAATGCAAAACAAAGGCTCAATGATTTATTTAATGATGCAAATTTTATTTCTAGTTTCATATCCGATAAGATTTTTGATGAGATTAACGATCATGTACGAAATGTTAAATTAGAGGAGGAAAAATTTAGAAAGGAGTTCGCGGAAAGACTTATTAATATACGTTCTGGAAAAAGTAATACTGATGAACTAGAGAACTTAATAAAGATAATTCAGAAAAGTGCCTTATCCAAGAGTTCTATTATGACGTTCATTGATCAATACCAATCAGTATCTAGAAGGGCTGACTTGGTATTTACTCTTAAAGAAAAAAATGTAGAGTATCTTGACAAGGATTCTACTATTGATTATATTCTGCGTATGAATTCAAAAGGTCATGTCTATATACTTATTGATGAAAATATTATTAATAATAATTCATCGCCAGTGCATAATGTATTTCAAGATTTATATAATTCAAATGAGAAATCGAGTAAGTTCTTTGTGGCTGACCCTAAAATATGTTCCAATATAAAAGGTCCTGGTTATCCAGTAATTCATCATTATGTCAATGGAAGATTAGAAAATAATGATTATTACAATGCCAATAAATTGTTATTTACATCAAATCTTATTAAATTTGATCCTCAACCACTTCTCAAACCAAAAAATAATCCTATTGAGAAGGCGCGATTACTAGTACCTTGTCCCCAAGCTAATTGTTCTACATTTTGTAATTGGAGATGTTTCAAATGTCATCATGACGTTGAATATGGATATAACTGGCATTTGTACTGTGGATGTGGTGAAAGTATTATCGGCAATTGCAAATTCAAATGCAATGGTCCTGATCATAATGAAGGATTTCTATCTTTTGAATTCAACACACTTACCACACTGCTACCGCCGGAGCCTCCAGAAGAAATAAATATATTATTACTTGGTGAGACTGGCGTAGGAAAATCCACGTTCATAAATGCTTTTGTAAACTATCTAAGATTCGATACATTAAATGAAGCAAAATCTGGAAATATGGAAGTACTGATATCATCTAAGTTCACATTAACAGATGAAAATTATGATACTCAAACAATAAAAATAGGTAAAGATGATCCAAATGAGCAATCAGAAAATGTAGGAATGTCATCAACTCAAGGATGTAATAGTTATGTATTCTATGCAGCTGAAAACAAACGTATAAGATTGATTGATACTCCTGGAATAGGAGATACTAGAGGATTAGACCAAGACAAGAAAAATTTTGAAAATATTCTGAAATATATTAGTTATTACCGGCACATAAATGGAATATGTATCCTTCTCAAGCCTAATAATGCTCGATTAACTGTAATATTTAGGTTCTGCATACAAGAATTGTTATCACACCTTCATAGAAATGCAAAGGATAATATTGTCTTCTGCTTTACCAATGCTAGAGGAACTTTCTACCGTCCAGGAGATACATTACCATCACTTAAAAAACAACTTGGAGACCTCAAAGAACGATCTAGTGTTGAAATAAAGGCCAATCATGATACTCTATATTGTTTTGATAACGAATCATTTAGATTTCTAGCAGCAATAAAGAAAGGTATTTCATTTACGGATGCAGATGAACAAAATTTTGCAGAAAGTTGGAAAAAATCCGTGAAAGAATCATTAAGGCTTATGCAGTATCTTTTGACACGCCCACCTCATGCGGTAAAAGATACTCTATCACTAAATAACTCTAGAAATATAGTAGTACTACTTTCTAAACCACTTGCGGAGATAGGACAACTTATTCAAGCAAATATTAAGTTAATTAAAGAAAAACAAAATGAAATAAAAAATTCCGATAAGACCATAGAAGAGCTTAAAGAAAATCTATATATTCGACAAATAGATCTCCAACCAAAAAAATTGGGATTTCCAAGAACTGTATGTACCAGCATTAGTTGTGTCGTATCATTGCAAATTGGACAAACTAATATTAGCAAGATAAATTATGTAACACACTGTCATGATCAATGTTATCTAAACAATGTTGCACGCAATGTAATAAACAACCCAGCACTAAGAAGATGCGCAGCTATGAATTCAGATGGAAATTGTGAAGAATGTAAGTGTAAATGGGATAAACATATGCATATTGACTATGAGAACGAGATAATAGATAAAGATATCGTTGATGAGAATGTAGTATTGCAGATTTCAAAAAAGAGATCAGATCAAGAAACTAAAAGAGCAATTGTAGAAGAATATCAAGCGAGGGTGAATCAATTACGAATAGAACAACATACGATAAATGAAATTAGTTTAAAGTTTGCACAATTTTTAAGACAAAATGCAATAGCTGCTTTTAATGACGCATATGCAGACTACTTGGATCATTTTATAAAAGAAGAAAAGATTAAAAAGAGTGCTGACCCTAATCGTTATGATGAAGAAATTCTCAATGGACTCGAAGCTACAAAAAGAAACTATTTGGAACAAATTGAAGTTATTAAAGAAGCAATTAAAAATAATAATCCTTCCATGCCTACAATATCACCAAACGATATAGCTGAGCTTGAACAGCAATTGTATGAACTACCAATCAACGGTCATACTCTAAAAAAGATAAAAGATGAAGCAGAACGTAGTCAGACTAGTGTATTTAATTATAAAGAAAGTCATTATTTAGGACCAACAAAACTTATATCAAGTACATTCGCAAAAATTTTTTACGGAAAATTAAGTTATGATCTATCTAAATCCAATTTTTTCTAAATATAGTATTAACATTTAAGTATCTATTAATATGTTCTTCATTTAAAATATCTTTTTCTTGGGCATCAAGTTTTAACATTTTTGAATTATTGTTTATTATTTTATTTGCTCGTCTCTTTTGATATCAATAAAGTCTATTGGGTTTAAACATAAATATTTTGAATTATATTTAATTTATGTAACATATTTTGCATTCTCCAACTTATAATTCTCGATAAAATACCCGGAACAAAGTAATAAATTTAAATTAATATACTATTAATACAAATTGACCAAAAGTTGATGTAGAAGCGAAAGACTAAAATCACATCATTCTAAATTGATTCAAGATCGTCAAATGCATGATATGCCGATTCGTAATATTTCATTCTAACTCCCTTAATTAAATATTAGTACAATCTCATTTGATTACATGCGGTTATGCCTTACAGTGTCCGGTCTGATGATCTTTCTGAGTCCAGTCATGTCAATTTTTAGTAGTCATGTGGATTTGGGTCCGGACCCTCGGACCATGCGGTCCGATGATCCACTTAAAATCACTTGGGTCCGATTAATTATAAAGCTTGATCTTGATCTACACTGGGCTTTTTTTTTGCCATTCGCTTTATAATGAGTCATTAAAAAAAAATTTTTTTTAATTTAATGAGATATTAATATTATGCCATAATGAATAATTATAATGTCATTAATATTATATAATTAATAATTTTAATTAATAATTTCAAATTTGTAAGCCTTCCAAATGAAATTTGCAAAGTATTTCTTTCAATTTTTCATGTATTTGATTTTATAAAGAAAAACATGGATGTAATTGACATTACTGAAAATAATAAAAATAATATTACAACTAATTCACTAATAGAAATACCAAATGTTAGTTATAAAATTTTCATGTTAATATTAATATCAATGTTATTTTATAATAATATTAAATACTATCAGTCGTGTAAATTTAGTTCAGTCCGATTGATCAACATCACAGGACTCGGCACAATTAACTCAGTCCGATGGTAGCGAAGTCTGATCAAAGTAAAAATTCGGTCCGCATCAAAATTCACATGACTGTGCTAAAAACTGACTCAGAAAGATCATCGGACCGGACTCAGTAAGGATATACTCGATTGCATGTAGTAAATTTTGCCAAGAAACTGCTCAGTTCTCGGTCCAGGACCGGACCGATTCGGACCTATGTAAATCGGTCCTATAAATTGGTCCTAATTATGCCACGTGACTTCAGATTTTTATGCATTACACAAAGCGAACGACACTAAAATTTTGCCTGAATTATCAAGAAACATCGTCCCGGTCATATATCGGTCATCAGGAAATTTTTTTATATGTAAAAAATATATAATAATTTGTGCATGAATGCACACCCTGAAAATGCACATTAATTGCATATTTAATATATACAGAATAATGTATTTCCATACAATATATTGTAAAAAGAATTGTTAATTTTTATATAAATTTGTACAAAGAATTATACATATAATATTGTTAGTTATATTGCATAAATTTCGAGAAATTTAACTATTAGTGCAATATTGAATACCTTGAAAATTTTGTGATGGTTCCTGACGGACCGGACCGCTAACATCCCTATTTCTAGTTAGTTAATATATTTTAGTGGAGCAATCTTTTCTTTTTTTTTCATTATTGGATAGCCTAATTAAATTCGAACATGTCTTATATTATTTTTTTTTTACTATGGAATATTTATAGATGGACAAATTTAACTAAATTAGCGGTCATTTAATAAAAACTTTCACCGTCTAGTAAATAGTAATAAGGCATTTACAATAGATTCATGTTATTGAGATATTATTTCTCATAAATTTGTATATAGAACCAAAATTAATGTACATATAAATAACTGCGTATTTTTCACTTGTTTTCATAGGGTTTCCCATTTACTACTACTTTACATGAAGTTACTAAAGTAACAGACAATTTCTAACGTGCCATGATATTTTAGCGTCTCATGTGATAACAGTTTCACTCGGATTTACTGTATAACCGCATATTAAATACTGTTTTTAAAATGATCAAACAAGAAATTAACTCGTTTCACTTTCTTTTTTGTTTAAACTTCAAAAGAAAAACGAAACTTCTGAAATATTAATCCAAATGAATGGATAAACAAATTCAAATATATTTTTTTCTTTAAAAGATGGATCCACTATAAGTTTGAATGGAACAGTCACATGAAGAAGGCAAAAAGGCATGTGATTGCTGCGGTACAATTTAACTGCGTAGTAATCAATATAGAAAATTCATTTATTTCATTTGATGATCATACTAACCATAATAAAATAGATTTTACTTTCATTTTTCTTATTTGGGATACTTTGTAGTTTGTCCTATATAAATTTACAAATTTACAGTGCTTTCAAAAAAAGAAACTATTTTTGCTTTTTAGCGTTTTACTTACTTTCTTTGCGTTAAAAAAACAATTTAGCCCTATTTTTTCTTGCTCAATAAATATAATAAATATGTCATATAAATTTGAATCTGAAGTTTTGGAAGCACTTGAAAAATTACTTAAAACTGAGACTAATTATGATGTTATCATTCATATCGGGAAGAAACCTGATAATAAAGAATTTCACGCACATTCTGGTTTTCTATGTTGTAGATCCAATTATTTTAATTCGATCATTTCTGCAAAAGATACTATTAAAAAAGATGGGAAATATATAGTTAATATGCCAAATATTACTCCTCAAGCTTTCGACGTTATTATCACGTAACTATACAGTTAATATTTTAATAGGATAAATAATAAAAATATCAAAATTTTATATTAATTTAATATTTTTTTCCTTATTCAAATTATAAATATAGGTATTTTTATACTGGATATGTTAATATGACAAACAAAACTGGTGTTGAAATTTTAAACATGATGACCGCTTTTGACGATTTGAAATTGAACCAATTAATTAAACTTGCCGAAGATTTTCTTACCAAACATCATCAAAATTTCTTAACAAATGATCCGATTGAAATTCTTCAAATGGTTCATTCTCATAAAATCTTTAATAACATACAAGATTTTTGTTTGAAGTTTATTTCCTCAAAACCTAATATTTTATTTAACTCTGTTAAGTTTGCTAATTTACTCGCTCCTCTATTGGAGATTATCTTGAAACAAGATGATTTAGTTTTAGATGAAATTGAAATTTGGGAAAATTTAGTTAAATGGGGATTAGCAAAAGACAAAATTCTTGATGAAGACGTTTCTAAATGGAATCAAGAAAAGTTTAATATTTTTGAAAGAGTCCTTCATAAACTTATACCATTAATTAGATTTTATGATATATCTTCAGAAGATTATTTCAATAAAGTTAGAACCTATGAACAAATTTTATCTAAAGAATTACGAGAAGATATCTTAAAATTTCATATGGTTCCTGGATATAAACTTACACTCAATAAATATCCAAAAAGATGTTCAAAAAGTAATATTGATTCTTCATTAATTAATATAGAACATATTGCACTTTTTTCAAATTGGATTGAAAGAAAAGATAATTACAAGTATAACAATAATATGCCTTATGAATTTAATCTTATTTTACGTGGTGGTCGGGATAGTTTTGACCCTAAATCATTTCATAATAATTGTGATAACAAAGGAGCAACTATTACAGTTATAAAAATTAAAAATTCGGATCAAATAGTTGGAGGATATAATCCCCTTGATTGGAGTGGACTAAGCAATAATAATACTCCAGATAGTTTTTTATTTTCATTTAATGATAATAGAAATAATGGTTCAGGTATAATTAGTAGACCAATTAAAAACATTAACAATGCTGTAATATGTGATCCAAATTGGGGACCAGTCTTTGGAACATGGGGTAATGGTAGTCATGATTTATGTATGCAACGAGATGGTCGATGGAGTTCTTATCCAAATTCTTACACTGATATTAATATTCCAAAAAAATATTTTGATATTGTTGATTATGAAGTGTTTCAAGTCAAAAAAAGGATTACTACTTAAAATTATAGGAATATTAATGTATATTTAAATTAGAAGATATATACTGTATTAATTTAAAAATCAAGCTATTTTTTTTTATTACTTTTACTCATTTTTGACTTTGAATATATTTACTAGAGTTAATATAAGGATACAAAATTTAATACATGATATAACCTATTTAAGGCTTGTACTCGAATCAAACTGACAAGATTAACCAGTCTGATTTCTGAAGCTCTAAACTAATTAAAATTTAAAACACTGATAATACCGTATTTTTGATACATAAAATTTACTTCGTTCTTTCCGATACCCAATTTTTTTTCTTTAGATAATATACTTGATCATCACTAACACATTAAACTCTCGGTATTTTGCCATACCTCCGGATTATTTATATCGCATAAAAAATATAATAAATTTATCTAAAGAACATTGGTTAAAAAAAAATCATCAGCACCTGATTAAATGTATTCTCAAGTCATTTCCATTTCATATAATATTTATTATCATTTTGAAAGAAATACATTTAAAAAATAAATACGAATAAGATGTTATATAAATTTGAACCTGAAATTTTAAGAAATTAGTTAAAACCCGAAATTTATTATGAATGTTATTAATCATGTCAGAAAGGGACCATAAATTTCATGTACATTTTTGTAGAAAGTATTAAATAAAAAATAGGCGAATTAAAAGAAAGAGAGATCTTATTATATTTACTCTTAGATTGTTATGACGTAACTGTATTAACGGGATTTTATAAAAAATTATACAATTTTTATTAATTTTTTTTTCTTATATCAGTTTAATAATTAAATAGACATGACATGTTATCATAATAAATAAAACTGAATTTGAAATTTTTGAATATTATGACTGATTTTGAAAACTAATTAATTAAATTCTATTAAAAATATTCTTATCCGCAATTCTTATGAATGAACTAAACGAAATTTTTAAAATTGTTTATTGACATAATAACTTTAATAGCGTAAAAATTGTTTTGAATCAAAATTATTGCTTGACTCTTAAGTTCATTAATTTATCTGCTCTCATATAATCATATTGGAAGTTATTCTGAAATTTGTGAAGATTTAGTTAAATGGGGATTAACACAAAAAAAAAATCCTTGATGTAGATACCTCTAAATGGAATCAAGAGAAATTTATTATTTTCAAAAGAATTTTTTTAAAACTTGTATCTTTAATTAGATTTTATCATACTGTATATCTTCTAAAAATTACTTAAATAAGGCTAAGCCATATGAACTAATTTTAACTAACAAACAAAATGATTTTATTTGGTAATCAGCTATAAACCAATACTCGATACCTTATACAACAAGACGTTATCATTATGTTGGTCCAGCTTTAATTAATAAAGAACACATTCTATTATTTGTAAGTTGGATTGACAGAAAAGAAAACATTGAGTATTTTTTTTTCATGATTCCTCAAAAAATTAGTTTTACTTCACGTGATAGCCAAGATAGTTTTGATCCTAAATAATGTTATAGAAAGGAACAAATATTATAATTATAAAAAATTACTAAAAATTCAAATTAAATAGTTGGAGATATAATCTACTTGATTGGAAAGGAATGATTTGAAAAATATCATTATATTCTCATTTGATTATTAGTTTAAGCAAAACATGTAGGATTGATAATGCCAACACTAGGCGAGTCAAAGACCAGAGGTATCAGATCAAGAGATGAGGAGACCAATGAGAAAGCAGAAAATAATCCAGAGACCTAAAGCTCTGCTTCCTCTAACAGTAAAAATAAAAAGCGAGCTAATAATACATCTATGAATACACCCTCCAGCAAGAAAGCGAAGGTTAAGTACTCATGTATTAGGAAAAAACTTATATAAGAACTGAGGATTGCCGATTTTGACGCTCCTAAGTTTCAGAAGCCAAAGCAAAGGAACATCCTCCTTAATCTAACACACATCTGGACACAATAGCTTATGCACTCACTCACTCATAAATAAATAAATATGCAGTAAATTATTTAATGACCACAATTCATAGATGAGGTGTATATAAAGACGTTTTATACTTTTTTTGTAATGGGAAAAAATAAATAAATTAGATACAGCAAGACCTGCTGCAAACTATTTTCAAATTTAAGAAACAAATCTTTGTCCATTATTCCCACAAACGATGTCTGAACATGGTACCCATAGTATCATATATGCTGGTAAGTTCTATAACTTGTAATTTGACTTAGTAAAAATTTATTCAAATTCTAATTAATATTTAACTTCTTAGTTCTGGTCTCTTATTTACAAGAATGTAACAAGAAGTCGTATTGCAAACATAATAGAGATTTCATAGTTGATTCTTTATCTCCAAGTTTTGACTCTCAGGACCTTGACAATACCTGGTCCCGAAATTTTCTAAAGGAAGTAGAAAGATTGGTGGACAAAAACACATAGGGTAACTCCTACCCTGTCTTGGCTCAGGAGAATTACTGTCTTTGACAGCTTGGTACTCACTCCAAGTCCTCAATTAAGACGCTCTAATTTGCAGTTATAAAGGTCTGCTAGTTCTAGAAAGTGAACTGGCTGTTTCTAATAAAAATGTTGATGAAATGCTAACATAAATCTTTCTCTCAATAATGGGCAATAGTCAACTGCAATCCTTCTGCTGAGAAAAAATCATCAAGGAACATGAATTGGTGAGTAAGTAATTGCCTAATATAATTATTATTTTTAGAGCAAGAACTTCTCAAGCAAGCATGAGAATAAAAAGAATCTATTAAACTCTTCACATACACAATGATAAAATACAATCAACAAGTGCTCAGATTGCCAAGCTAACTAATAAATGGAGTTGAGAGGAAGATCTGCTAATGACAACATATAATAATTTTTGATCATCAAGATGATTATTATAATCCATATGGGGGATTAAAGGATAAAACACAGAAAAGAGAAATATAAGGCTTTTATTAATAATAACGCAGAAATCCAAAAGGATTTATTTGAAGGTTCTGTTACTTCATCAAACCTAACACAAATGTTGATTTAGACGCAGATGAGTTATAAAGAAAAATTCTAGTAAGTTCACATTATATTATTAATATTAACTAGTGGCGGCCTGTTGCTTTGTACTGGGATTAGTAAGTTGGTTTAAACTAATATAAGTGTATAGTAATGACAGTTAAATTTTTTTTACACATTGTAACAACAGCTTCTGCCACTCTGATGAACGTTACAAGGTTTGGTTCATTTCATATAATCATAAAATTTATATTTTAATAAAAAAGTTTATTCTTTATTATGTAAAAATATGTCATTATAATACAGTTATTTATTAAATATAAAATATATAACCATACAAAATCATAAAAATATTATAAAAGAATTATCAAAATTAAAAGAACCATTGAAAGTAAAAGAACTACTAAAATAAATTACAAAGTTGGGTTTATATAATAATTTCTATGTTGATCTTTTGAACAACGTAAACATTTATAACTCATTATTAGTGTAAAAAAGAGATTGAGGTGATTAGATCATTTCTAAATTTATTCACTTTTTCACTCAATTTGTAATTTGTCCTCCAATATTCATGCATATTTTGGAAATGCACAATGTAAACATGAGAAATGAATTTTATTAAATAATGCATTATGCATTATGCTTTAAGCTTTATCATTATGCTTTATAATTATAATTATGCATAAAACATAATGCATATATGCTTCTCTAATATCAAAAGAATAAAATTGCAATTTAGGCCTTTCTGTGCCACTTTCATTGTGTTTAATTAAGTCATCAAATAATAGAAAAATTTAATTTTGCCAATCACTTAGATGTAAAAAATTTTCTCGGTAGATCAAAGGACAGGTATTGTGTAAATAAAATTTTCTAATTTTTTCAATAATGGCAATAGATCATTATAGGTATAACAAAATTTTTCACTAAATTTTTTTTTTTAATAATAACAATAGATTGGTATAAGGCAGATATTGTATATAAGCAAAATTTTCTGATTATAATTTATTGAAAAAAATGTTGTGAACCATTTTTTCTAATATAATATTATGAAAAAAATGTCTGTTGGATAGCACTGAATGCAGCGGACTTTATTTTAATTGATTATTTTTCTTCTGCAGTGTTTTGTTTGATGTGACTTTAATTCCAATTTTGATGAATTGTAAAATAACATGCAATTTCAAACTTCAAATTGTTGACTAAACATTTGCAAGTACATCTGAGAAAAGAAATTACATCTGCAAGTATCTCAAGTTCGTCTGAGTAAAGAAATCAATTATTAATTCACAGTATTTACCTTTTACCTGGCAGGAATCACCACTTGTTAACTGATTCAATACATTAAATAGATTAACTATGATTTGCAGTCAGGAAATTAAGTATATTTAACTATGACTGAAATCCAATCAAACTTACAATGTTAACTTAAAGAACTAATTGGAATGTACTAAATTTATAATGAAGGAAAATACCAACATTATTTATATAAAAGTTACTACATATAAAGATATAATAGATATAATAGATATAATAAATATAAGAAATATAACTAATATAATAAATATAATTAATATAATAAATATAATAAATAAATCAAATAAAATAATTATATCATTTATATTAAATATAATGGAAATAATAGGCTAGATAGGCTGTGGCTAGGTTAGCTTGGATGCAGTAAATCCTAATTTTCCACATGATCATTTGGCATAACTCCACAACTCCACATGTGACTAGGAGTAACATCATGAAATATTGGTTGCAGTAAATCCGAAAAGAGTTTTTTTCCAATAAAATATTTCACAAGTGCCATTAATTATTGAATATATCTTTTCTTTATATACTTTTCTCTTATTATCATGTCTAAAAAAAATTCCTAAATATCTATTACCTTCTTCATTATTAACTTTTTTTTATTTCTTTGCCTTCTATTATTAATTTATCTTTTTTGTAATTAATCTTAATTAATTCATATTTGCTAACATTTGCTTTTATATCATTTATTTCAAAGAATTGATGGCATATTTTGATCATTTTATCTATACTTTCTTTGTCATTCTCTATCAACATTGTGTCATTCATGAAAGCAGTTGCATTGATCATTATTTCTAATTTTTCTTCTTCATTTTTTGATCTATCAATTATTTTTTCTACTTCTATTTTATAACCTGTCTTTTTTTTTAACTTCTTCCAATCTTATTAGCAAAGCATCATAAAATATTCTCCATAAGATTGGAGACCAGACTTCTCCTTGATCTATACCATCTTGGACATAGTATTCTTCTATTATATCATTGTTAATTAATACTCTATTAAGATTAACATTCATTACTAAATTAATAAAGTTGTCAGATAAATTTATTCATTTAGACTTTTTTCTAGCATTGTTGTACTGACAGAATCATATACTTTAGATATATCCATTAGAAGAATTTATGCTTCTTTCTTATATTTATTTGCATCTTCTATTATTCCTTGTACAATTTTAAAAGTTTGAAAGTACTTCATTCTTCAAAGCTGTATAATTTGTATTGCATAAAACTTTTTTTTTTGTCAAGATTTCACTTAATCTATTGACCAAAATTTTGAAAAAAATTTTTGTATAAAGGATGGAAACACATTTGATTTCATTAAATTGTTCAATGGTTTTATCATAAATTGCACTAGCATCTGATGGTGATCAGGAGGATATCAGAAACAAAGATACTTCTTTGTCCCTCTTGGGTACATGCAGTAACTGGATAATACAGGTAGAACTGATGTTGTAAAATTGCATTAGTAACAGCAGTTTTCATATTAGTCTTAGCTCTGAAAAGACAATAATCCTTTTGAAATTATTGGAATCCTTCACATTGCATATGAGATCCATATAAAGTAAGATTAAAAAGTGATGATCAACTGCATCACAAGCAATATGGTTTGAGGCAAATTTTTCCAAAAGCTATTAGTAGAGTTGGGTAAAGCAGTTGCATAAAAATGAATAGAGTCAGCCTTTCCATGAAACATTCATTTTTTTGGTCAATGAATGGTATAAAATTTTCACTATTTTTGGTTGCTTATATGAAATAAAGGTAGTGGGTAGTGAAGAAAGAGGTTTAAGTAAGTGTCTAGAACAATTAGATATGATGGCCTCTTATTCTTGTTTATAAAACCAATTTGGCGTTCATCCTTTGAAGTGATTGTTGGATTTATTTTTGATTTCTGTCTAAGATGGTAAGAAATTACCATCTGTTGGGATGATTTGATCTTAAAAATAATTCTTTTGTTACATAAATAGATTTGATTTGTTAAATCAAATTAGATGATAGGTGAGCAGAATAATACCACCTAAGATGTTACTATCAATGGTAGGTAAAAAGGTAAAGTAGGGAAATGGGGCAACTAATATTCATATTGGATGTGCAAAAATTTTTGAATAGCTATGGTTTTAAAAATTCTATTGTTAAAAAGTAAATTAGTAAATGCACAGTGTATATAGAATTGATTGTGATAAAAACTATTTATAGAAGAAAATAATTTATTATTTATAAAATTATTATATATAGAAGAAAGAAGATTAAAAATAATGTTTAAGAAGAGTTTTTAAAGGAGATAAATTTGTTTGCACTGTGTTTCTGTTAATACACAGAATTGATTAAAACATTTTAATTTCAGAATAAATTAATGTGGTTATGCATTAATTTTTTATGTCGTAATTTTGATTCGTGCTTCAGCAGTATGGAAATGAATAATGAGACACTTGGCATCACCAGAACCAGTCATACGCACTTTGCCAGTGTATGACTCATAGGTTTCTAAAAAGAGATTATATATTAACAGCCTCAATGAGAGCCTTATTAGTAGGGAATTTTTTAAGGGATTCAGGGGCAGCATTCAGCGCAGCCGCAGCCTGAAAATCATCTCTGGTCAAAATATTTGGTTATTTGTCATAATTTTTTAAAGGTTGGGTGGATGAATTAAAGGCATTAGCATGTACTCCCAAAATTGCTAAATATAATATCATTAAAGGTTTTGTTATGAGTAACATGAAATGTGAGTTACTGTGATGAGTGTTAAAACACAAATAATTGTTGATGTTATCTTCTTTATTGAATTAAAGTCAGTACCACATTAACAGATCATTCTGCAGCTGGATTTCACAAATTGATTATTTTTCAGTCTACAGGTAGTACCAACAAAGGTCATAATATATAAAGTCTCTTTCCATAATTTTATAGAATCTCTTGTTTTTTAGTATCAGTACAATTAACTCATGAAGATTCAATAAAGGCAAGCTCAAAGAACTTTCCTAAACATTTCATTATCATTATAACATCAGGCATTTTTCCAGTCAAGATCTAAATCATTGTGAAACCTGATCTTTATCTTTTCCAAAGTTTCATCGTGCCTTACTTGCAATGCTTTGACATTTTGCTATACTTAAACAGATGTAATTACTATTTAGTAGAACCCCAAGTAGCCTGAAGTAAAGGCACAATTACATCCATAATATAAGTTCCTTTGCTTTGGTTACTACATATTTTTCTGGATGTAAATGCAGGATTATTCCATATTTTCCTGCTATATCTAATTAAAAATTATACAATGTGAGTCAAATATGGATCACATAATTGGAATAATGATAATAGCTAAGTTAATTGTAATATATGATTTATTAATTGAAACACTCTTTTTTTCCATTTGTTATTATTTTATAATATTTTTGAGTGTATTCAGATTATCAATCTTATTGAAGTTATTAGCAAATTCATTACACCTTAAGGCAACTGAAATAGGAAGATCACATTTCATATTCTCATGTGATTTTAAAAATATTCATTTTTTGCCCTAAATTCTCCATCAACAATGTTCAATAATTAAAATTAATTTTATTTTCTTTTTCTTTTGGTCTTTTTTTTTTGTTTGGAATATTTTCTGGTGCATCAACTTTTCATTGCCTTCTTCAATATTTTGCCAATATCTACAATTATTTATTTCTTGATCATTATCAATAATTTTCAATATGTTGTTTCTGAGACAGCAAAGATTTTGAAATTTCTGATATTTTTGTTGTATAAGTCTTATGTTTTCTATGATCCTTCTTTGAAGTATTAGCTAATGGTAATAATGGAGACATTTTTGTTTCTAAATTTGATGTATATGGTTGATTCTTCATTCTATAGTAGATTTAGTCTTAGAAGAAAATGGAGTTGTGTCTGTTTCATTCTTCAATGGAATGGATATAATACTCTCTGATTCAATTTTACCCATAATAAATTGAAATTCCAATATTTCACAGTATAGTTGTTCATCTGTGAGGAAAAATAGTCCTGTTGTGTGAACTGTTGAATTTTTTTAGCTTTTGTTAAGCATTTTTAAATCTTTCATTCACTGGGTAAGTTAATTTACTGAGAATGGATTAAATTGCCCTTTTGATAAATATGGTTTCACTTGAATTTGCAAAGTGTAACCAACATCTGTTAATTGCAAATAATTTATTGTTTCCTACAAATTGACAGTTGATTTCATGATAGGTATATCTTCTTTATCAAAAGGAATGTGTACATTGGATATAATTGTCACGTTAATTAAATCATCTTGTAAGACAGAAAATTTTCTGTTATTAGATACATATTCTCTTTCTTGAATGGTGCTGTTTAAATGTCATCACTTGAATCAGAATTAGCTGAAGTTAAATAATTTGAGTATTTGTATATATTTGAGAAATAGCTGTACCTTTCTGTAGAGTACCACTGTTGATAATTTCATCAAAAACAGTTAATATGTACAAGATAGTCATGATATTTATAATCATATTTATTGTTTTTAAAATTGAATAAAAAATGAATAGAAGAATGAATGAATTTCTATAAATAAAATTGAATAAATGAGTGATGCAAGAGTAAATGAGCCTCTTTTATATGTTTTGCTGAAACATTTATTTTATTTAAAAATAAATAATTCACAAAGATCATTTAAAATTCATCATTAGTGTGTTTTTGAAGAGTTAGCATAAGATAGACGGAGGTTTCAAAAAACAATCCTAATGCTCTTAAATTTCGCCCAATCTCTTCTTTCATATTATTGGGAAGTGATTCTTGTTATATATAAAATTTAAATAAGCAGCCCTGATTATTTGATATTATGGCAGAATTTGCCACATCTATATAAATTTACCAATACATTGTCAAATTGTATCTATTGCTGTTTACAAAATTGTTGTATCAAAGTCTATGAATATTTAATATTTAGTGTCTTTTAAAGTAGCTTATTTGATCTAACTATTCCAAAAGCTTAATATAGTATTATGTAAATATTTGTACTATAAAATGAAGAATTTTCTATATATTATAGAGAACTATACCAAATGCAGTTGTTGTAGTCCAGGGCTTGTTTGATTTTTAATAATATAATATATCTATATAATTACAACGTGATAGTTGCTAAAATATATGCCATTAGGTTTTTACATGTCCTGTATAGATATCTAACTATTTAGCCAATTATTATTATAATAATTTTGTTGAATAACTTGCATACTAAATTAAAAGTCTAAAGTACTATTATGAATATAATTGTCTTATTATGATGATGTGATAAATTATATTGCAAGATGAAAATTCTCAATTATAACACAATACAATTTGAGTGATATAGATAAGATTGTCTTTGAACATTGCCACTTATTGCAAAAAACATTCAAGGTATAGGTAATATTAATCTTTATGTATGAGTCAATAGAAGTTAATATCTTATTTTTAAACTTGTAATATAGAGTAAGCAATATGTTGTTCTCCATATCAACATTAATGATATATGGTTCTTTAGTGAAATGAACTATGTTTGTATAATTAGTATTGTTGATGTTGTCACTTGACAATATAACTCTGCGCCAACTTTAAATTCTAGTGTCTCTCCAACTAAGTGGGCTTCTTCATTTTCTGAATTTAAAAATAATGAATAGCTCTTCTCTTCCAGTTCATTAATTTTACTCATTTTTTTAGAGACTATGTCATAAATATATAAATACATATTTACACATGTATTACATGCATTTTCACTTTGAGACCACTAATCCATAAAAATATCTTTTAACTTTGTATCTTCAGAAAAGATACTTAATCCCAGGCATATTCTTTTAATACTAAAAACCTGATAGTTTGGTGTAATTAGTATCATTATATTGTCAATACTATCAGCACTTCTAATATTCAACAATCTAATTTTTTTTTTTTTTTAATAATGGTATGAAAACCCCTAGTGCTATAACTTTCCAGTCATCTATCACTATCATGGATTCACTATTAATAATATGGCTCTGAAACTACATTAATCATCAGACTGATGGTG